AGCAGTCAGCCCCACACCCAGCAGTCAGCCCCACACCAGCCCCACACCAGCCCCACACCCAGCAGTCAGCCTCACACCCAGCAGTCAGCCCCACACCCAGCAGTCAGCCCCACACACAGCAGTCAGCCCCACACCAGCCCCACACCCAGCAGTCAGCCCCACACCAGCCCCACACACAGCAGTCAGCTCCACACCAGCCCCACACCCAGCAGTCAGCCCCACACCCAGCAGTTAGCTCCACACCAGCCCCACACCCAGCAGTCAGCCCCACACATAGCAGTTAGCCCCACACCCAGCCCCACACCCAGCAGTCAGCCCCACACCCAGCAGTCAGCCCCACACCAGCCCCACACCCAGCAGTCAGCCCCACACCCAGCCCCACACCCAGCAGTCAGCCCCACACCCAGCAGTCAGCCCCACACCCAGCCCCACACCCAGCAGTCAGCCCCACATCCAGCAGTCAGCCCGACACCCAGCAGTCAGCCCGACACCCAGCAGTCAGCCCCACACCCAGCAGTCAGCCCCACACCCAGCAGTCAGCCCCACACCCAGCCCCACACCAGCCCCACACCCAGCAGTCAGCCCCACACCCAGCCCCACACCAGCCCCACACCCAGCAGTCAGCCCCACACCCAGCAGTCAGCCCCACACCCAGCAGTCAGCCCCACACCCAGCAGTCAGCCCCACACCAGCCCCACACCAGCCCCACATCAAGCAGTCAGCCCCACACCCAGCAGTCAGCCCCACACCCAGCAGTCAGCCCCACACCCAGCAGTCAGCCCCACACCAGCCCCACACCTAGCCCCACACCCAACAGTCAGCCCCACACCAGCCCCACACCAGCCCCACACCCAGCAGTCAGCCCCACACCCAGCAGTCAGCCCCACACCCAACAGTCAGCCCCACACACAGCCCCACACCCAGCAGTCAGCCCCACACCCAGCAGTCAGCCCCACACCCAGCAGTCAGCCCCACACCCAGCCCCACACCTAGCCCCACACCCAACAGTCAGCCCCACACCAGCCCCACACCAGCCCCACATCAAGCAGTCAGCCCCACACACAGCAGTCAGCCCCACACCTAGCCCCACACCCAACAGTCAGCCCCACACCAGCCCCACACCAGCCCCACACCCAGCAGTCAGCCCCACACCCAGCAGTCAGCCCCACACCAGCCCCACACCCAGCAGTCAGCCCCACACCCAGCAGTCAGCCCCACACCCAGCCTCACACCCAGCAGTCAGCCCCACACCCAGCAGTCAGCCCCATATTCAGCCCCACACCTAGCCCCACACCCAGCAGTCAGCCCCACACCAGCCCCACACCCAGCAGTCAGCCCCACACCCAGCAGTCAGCCCCACACACAGCAGTCAGCCCCACACCAGCCCCACACCCAGCAGTCAGCCTCACACCCAGCAGTCAGCACCACACCCAGCAGTCAGCCCCACACCCAGCAGTCAGCCCCACACACAGCAGTCAGCCCCACACCAGCCCCACACCCAGCAGTCAGCCCCACACCAGCCCCACACACAGCAGTCAGCTCCACACCAGCCCCACACCCAGCAGTCAGCCCCACACCCAGCAGTCAGCTCCACACCAGCCCCACACCCAGCAGTCAGCCCCACACATAGCAGTTAGCCCCACACCCAGCCCCACACCCAGCAGTCAGCCCCACACCCAGCAGTCAGCCCCACACCAGCCCCACACCCAGCAGTCAGCCCCACACCCAGCAGTCAGCCCCACACCCAGCAGTCAGCCCCACACCCAGCCCCACACCCAGCAGTCAGCCCCACATCCAGCAGTCAGCCCCACACCCAGCAGTCAGCCCCACACCCAGCCCCACACCCAGCAGTCAGCCCCACACCCAGCAGTCAGCCCCACACCCAGCCCCACACCTAGCCCCACACCCAACAGTCAGCCCCACACCAGCCCCACACCAGCCCCACACCAGCCCCACACCAGCCCCACACCTAGCCCCACACCCAACAGTCAGCCCCACACCAGCCCCACACCAGCCCCACACCAGCCCCACACCAGCCCCACACCCAGCAGTCAGCCCCACACCCAGCAGTCAGCCCCACACCCAGCAGTCAGCCCCACACCAGCCCCACACCCAGCAGTCAGCCCCACACCAGCCCCACACCCAGCAGTCAGCCCCACACCCAGCCCCACACCCAGCAGTCAGCCCCACACCCAGCAGTCAGCCCCACACCCAGCCCCACACCCAGCAGTCAGCCCCACATCCAGCAGTCAGCCCGACACCCAGCAGTCAGCCCGACACCCAGCAGTCAGCCCCACACCCAGCAGTCAGCCCCACACCCAGCAGTCAGCCCCACACCCAGCCCCACACCAGCCCCACACCCAGCAGTCAGCCCCACACCCAGCCCCACACCAGCCCCACACCCAGCAGTCAGCCCCACACCCAGCAGTCAGCCCCACACCCAGCAGTCAGCCCCACACCCAGCAGTCAGCCCCACACCAGCCCCACACCAGCCCCACATCAAGCAGTCAGCCCCACACCCAGCAGTCAGCCCCACACCCAGCAGTCAGCCCCACACCCAGCAGTCAGCCCCACACCAGCCCCACACCTAGCCCCACACCCAACAGTCAGCCCCACACCAGCCCCACACCAGCCCCACACCCAGCAGTCAGCCCCACACCCAGCAGTCAGCCCCACACCCAACAGTCAGCCCCACACACAGCCCCACACCCAGCAGTCAGCCCCACACCCAGCCCCACACCCAGCAGTCAGCCCCACACCCAGCAGTCAGCCCCACACCCAGCAGTCAGCCCCACACCCAGCCCCACACCTAGCCCCACACCCAACAGTCAGCCCCACACCAGCCCCACACCAGCCCCACATCAAGCAGTCAGCCCCACACACAGCAGTCAGCCCCACACCTAGCCCCACACCCAACAGTCAGCCCCACACCAGCCCCACACCAGCCCCACACCCAGCAGTCAGCCCCACACCCAGCAGTCAGCCCCACACCAGCCCCACACCCAGCAGTCAGCCCCACACCCAGCAGTCAGCCCCACACCCAGCCTCACACCCAGCAGTCAGCCCCACACCCAGCAGTCAGCCCCATATTCAGCCCGACACCTAGCCCCACACCCAGCAGTCAGCCCCACACCAGCCCCACACCCAGCAGTCAGCCCCACACCCAGCAGTCAGCCCCACACACAGCAGTCAGCCCCACACCAGCCCCACACCCAGCAGTCAGCCCCACACCCAGCAGTCAGCCCCACACCCAGCCTCACACCCAGCAGTCAGCCCCACACCCAGCAGTCAGCCCCATATTCAGCCCCACACCTAGCCCCACACCCAGCAGTCAGCCCCACACCAGCCCCACACCCAGCAGTCAGCCCCACACCCAGCAGTCAGCCCCACACACAGCAGTCAGCCCCACACCAGCCCCACACCCAGCAGTCAGCCCCACACCCAGCAGTCAGCACCACACCCAGCAGTCAGCCCCACACCCAGCAGTCAGCCCCACACACAGCAGTCAGCCCCACACCAGCCCCACACCCAGCAGTCAGCCCCACACCAGCCCCACACACAGCAGTCAGCTCCACACCAGCCCCACACCCAGCAGTCAGCCCCACACCCAGCAGTCAGCTCCACACCAGCCCCACACCCAGCAGTCAGCCCCACACATAGCAGTTAGCCCCACACCCAGCCCCACACCCAGCAGTCAGCCCCACACCCAGCAGTCAGCCCCACACCAGCCCCACACCCAGCAGTCAGCCCCACACCCAGCCCCACACCCAGCAGTCAGCCCCACACCCAGCAGTCAGCCCCACACCCAGCCCCACACTTAGCAGTCAGCCCCACATCCAGCAGTCAGCCCCACACCCAGCAGTCAGCCCCACACCCAGCCCCACACCCAGCAGTCAGCCCCACACCCAGCAGTCAGCCCCACACCCAGCCCCACACCTAGCCCCACACCCAACAGTCAGCCCCACACCAGCCCCACACCAGCCCCACACCAGCCCCACACCAGCCCCACACCTAGCCCCACACCCAACAGTCAGCCCCACACCAGCCCCACACCAGCCCCACACCAGCCCCACACCAGCCCCACACCAGCCCCACACCCAGCAGTCAGCCCCACACCCAGCAGTCAGCCACACACCCAGCAGTCAGCCCCACACCAGCCCCACACCCAGCAGTCAGCCCCACACCAGCCCCACACCCAGCAGTCAGCCCCACACCCAGCAGTCAGCCCCACACCAGCCCCACACCAGCCCCACATCAAGCAGTCAGCCCCACACCCAGCAGTCAGCCCCACACCCAGCAGTCAGCCCCACACCAGCCCCACACCCAGCAGTCAGCCCCACACCCAGCAGTCAGCCCCACACCCAGCAGTCAGCCCCACACCCAGCAGTCAGCCCCACACCCAGCAGTCAGCCCCACACACAGCAGTCAGCCCCACACCAGCCCCACACCCAGCAGTCAGCCCCACACCAGCCCCACACCCAGCAGTCAGCCCCACACCAGCCCCACACACAGCAGTCAGCCCCACACCCAGCAGTCAGCTCCACACCAGCCCCACACCCAGCAGTCAGCCCCACACATAGCAGTTAGCCCCACACCCAGCCCCACACCCAGTAGTCAGCCCCACACATAGCAGTTAGCCCCACACCCAGCCCCACACCCAGCAGTCAGCCCCACACCCAGCAGTCAGCTCCACACCAGCCCCACACCCAGCAGTCAGCCCCACACCCAGCCCCACACCCAGCCCCACACCCAGCCCCACACCCAGCAGTCAGCCCCACACCCAGCAGTCAGCCCCACACAGTCCCACACCCAGATATATTGTCCTGAGATTTTTGTCAAGAAATATTTTATTATATGATGTATTGTCCTGAGATGTTTTGTCCTTATGTGTTAAGCCATAACATATTTAACCTTCGTTCTAAAGGCCGTGTGTTCTGATGTTGTTTAAGCCACATCTGATGTTAAGCGTGTATTACAAAAAGAAATGTTTACACTTTCAGAAGCGAAGGGCCAGTGAGGTCATACAGCCCTGTGTCCCCGCATCTTAACAGAAACGTAGAAAAACGGTTTCAACTAAATACCTGGAGTCCACGTCAAAATTGAGAAGTTTGATACCATCAAGAAGTAGAAAGTAATCGATCTGATTTATTGCCGGCCGAGATCACTAACATCACTCAAAAACTCGGCAAGTTGTGGGGACAAACATCAGTCGCCTGAATGGCGAATCACCTCTTTACGTCTGGAGACCGCTAAGAATGCATCTTAGTTTCGAAAAATTTCTCAGCTCACATTTGTGCCCGTGCCATATTTATTTGTTTACATTTCGCTTCGTTCCAATTTTGTTTCCGTTTTTTCTCCTCCTACTTCCTCCCACTTACACGTTATAAGACCATCTGATTGGTTCCTTTTCCAAGTTGTGTCTGCGTGGAGCATGCGCACGGAGGTACCTTGGTATCTATTGCCCATCTCTGGTTTTGTTTATCGAGAACATGGCAGTGGAATCCAAAGAGGAAAAATGCCACGTTAAAGGAAGGAAGAGGAAGCACGAAGGTTCCCAGGAGCAGGTGGTTCCCTGCAAGATACAGCGCTTCAGCCAGTGGAAAGACACCAGCCCAAGTTTCCAAGAAACTCTCAAACCCGCCCGCAATTTGGTCATTGACGACTTCCCTCTACCACCGCACTTGATGGGCTGTGTCGCGTTGGTCGAGCAACGCGAGGGTAGGGCGACGACCAGTACAACGCGGGGGACGACCAGTGGAGCGCGGGGGATCGGCAGCTTCCAATTCTTAGACATCGGCTGCCGAACGGTTGACAGTCTAGAGTACAACACCAACAACAACAGTGGTCTCACTCAGTCTCGTGACGTCAAGCACCAGGACAGAAAGATCAGGTTCAAGAGATGGAGTACGCCGACAGGTACACGGAACAGGGATCCCAATGCGTCTGCTGGGGGTCGCAAGCAGGGGATCAAGATCAAAGCTTCGTTCAGCGACGCTTCGGTCCTGAGCGTCAAATATTTGGCCAACGACGACGTGGCCCGCTCGGCCTCTGATGTCAACATGGAGGTCCGCAACAAACTCAAGCCCTGGGAAACTGTCTCGCCGCTCGTGCAACTCGTGCATGGCACCCGCAGGTCAGCGAATCCCTTTAAAATGGGCAAGAAAAAGGGCAAAGACAACAAAGCTCACAAGCAGACGACGAGAAGCGAGGCCTTGAGTGGTCCCCTTCCCACGAGCAGAACTGAGGGCGGGGGACGGGCAGGCGGAGCTAACAAAAAAGTCCCGGCCCCAGAGTCAAGACAGCAGCCAGTCCACGCGTCAGGGAAGAGACATCCCAGGCAGGAGAATGATAACGTCATGAGTGGCACAGCCAACCATCTGATGCGTGAGAGAGAGCAGTCCGAGCTGAAGGCGTGTCCCATCTTTGGCGTCTCCACCTCCCAGTCGGATGTGTCCCTCGTCAAGTTCAGGGAGCGCCAGTCGGGCGACGAGGTCGTACAGCGGGCACGTGAGACACTGGTCTGCCTGTCCACTTGCCCGAACTTGAAACGCCGGGGTCGAACCCACGACCCAAACAGAACCTCGCGGACCCACGACCCCTACAGAACCTCGCGGACCCACGACCCCTACCAAAACTCGCGTTCTGCCAAAGATTCCAGAGAGATCAAATTCTTCCGGCCCGAATCTTCTCTCCACGAGAACCTGCTCGCTCTGGAGAAAATAAAGTCCGAGAGCTCGGAGCTCAGGCCGCAGCCTGTCCTGGAGGTCAAGTACATGGCGCCAACAGTCTGCGTCTTTGGCGACATCAACAACGGAGTTGAGAACGATTCACTCATCAAGAAGCCGTTGACGGGGTTTCTCGGTAAAACATCCCACCCACCAGAAGAGGAGCAGCCTGCCACAAGAGGTCCTGAAGAGATCAAGCGAAACGCAGAGATCTTCTCAAAGAATCGTAGCCTGCAACTGGCCAGCGATTGCTGTAAACCTGACAAAAACGCCAGCAAAACTAAACGAAAACACAGCAGCAATCAAGCTATTAAAAAACACTTTCCCGCCAAAAGTTTGGATCCTAAATTAAACCTCGCCGTCCCTGATAGAAGGCCTTATCAAAAGCTGGCGAGCAGCCTAAATGACAGCAGGAAGACAGTCGGCGACACGCTAGTCATTGAACACCGGCATGAGGACAGACAATTGGAAGAAGGGGGCGGCGCCTCGCAGGTCGCCAACCCTGAAGAGCCGAAACCGATGGACCGGAACGGTTCTCGCAATGACACGTTGCTGGGGGTCAGCAACGTGTTCGACCACTGCACATCCCCTGAGGTCCAGGAGACTCTGCACGAGGCCGTGCCCTCGCTGCACACTGACAGCTCCTCCAGCCTGGCTGTCCGGCAGTTCTGTGATTGCTGTCTCAGGCAGCACAAGCCAGACGAGCAGTGTCCTAAATGTGGAGCACACACCGTGTCTTCTGACCACGCCGACCACAGCGAGAGAAGTGTCAAAATGAGCCGTAGAATAATCAAGCGAACGTCGGACCCCGATAAATTGGCAGACCTGGTGTCGGCCAAACACCAGCAGGTCATGGAGCAAATGCTGCGCACTCAGTCAGAGTCCCCGCCCTCGGCAGCGAGAAAGCGGAAGTTAATGTCTAGGACCCCCCGGCCTGCAGATCTAGAGAAACCGAAAAAAAGCGCCAATTCACCAAAATGGCCGAATTCTACATGCTCCAGGACTGACGGACGGGGAAGTCGTTTGTCAGGTCGCCAGCTGCCCTTGCGCGACTTTTCCCCGGGGTGTGGGGCCTCAAGCACGAGCAAGGAATGCTCCAAGCGATCAGGGTCTAGAGACGCTGCCGAGAGTGGTGTCCACAGCAAGAATGATGAGCAGACCAGAACTGCCAAGAGCAAAAGTCCAAAGCTCACGTCCAATGCCTTCACCTACCAAGTTCGCGAGCTAATGAATGCGTCTCCCGACTCCTCATCTCGTGCGCGCCTCTCTTCTCCACACGGCCATGACCTCAAGACCTCAATCAGTAGTCGTAGAAGAAACAATGAAGGGCAATCAGAAAGCGGCTCAGAATTTTCATTATGCAAAATTAACATCGCAAATACCTGCGAAATAGATGTTGAAAGTCCACCCAAAAAAGAAAGTGAAAAATCGCATAGACTGAACATCCAGATGAATGATATCGTTGAAGGTGTGCTGCACTATCTTAGCAAAAAACATAAGGAGAGCTACAATATGCGGACGATTAATCCCGCCGATAAAGATTATATAAAAAAACTGACAGAAAGGCTGCTACTGACTGAAAATATTCTGAGCATTAGAAACGAGGAGAGAGAGGAAGCTGAGGAGAGAGAGAACATCTCGTCGGCAGAATGCAGCAACGTCAAGTTTGAAGCCATACGGAAATATGAAAATGCTGGTTTAAGTACATCAGAGCAGATCCCAGAGAAGCAGGTTGTCAACAATTACCGCAAGCTGCTGCAAGATGCCCGGTTTAAAAGCAACGATCTGGGGATGATGTTTGACAAATCATTTCCGCACCCGGAGGAGGCGTCAAACGAGGTCCAAAATCAGAGCCTGTCGCCGCAGGAAGAGAGCTTCGATGCTGTGGCCAGTGATCTGACCAAAAGAAAAGAGTATCTGAAATGGTATCTGCAGGCCAGTCAGGGCGGTGCCAGAGACTCGAGGAAACGAAACGTTCACAAGACCGGCTCTGAACTCATCGTGTCTGACCACGGCAAGGCGGACGACCGTTTCACTGGTGCAGAGTCCATCAGCACCAACACCACCGACATCACGGAGCACAACGAGAGCGAGATCAACCGCGAGAAAGAGAAAATCTCGTGCCGATGTGCTGCCATTCACAGTATCCTGAATGACCTCAAGCACCACATACTACTGGAACGGGTCGGGCAAATAACTTACGGGGCCCCCAGTCAAGTCAACACGCTGGACGACAATCGCAGGACTGAGTCTCCGAGGTGCAGGAAGAAAGAACATGCTTATTCCAACCGCATGTACGATAGCACACCAAGAAACAGTTCCGCGATGGGGCGGTCACCCACTTTATGCGAGTCCTCCACGCCGTCGCTAAACGAGGCAGCAGTGCCTTATCCGCACACGAATCAGCAGCACGTGCCAGAGGTCACCCAACAGCATTACCTGGACCTTATTGCGTCACTCATCCAGAACAGAGGGATGCCGCCACCAGAAATGTTGGCCCATCCGCACCAGAGCATGACGCACGAACAAAGGGGTCAGGCGAGTGAGCAGTTCTCCACCAACCAGTCGTTTGTTGAGCAGTACTACAAGATGCTGGTGGAGGACTGGCAGAGCAAACGCCAGGAGAGGAGCTCTGGTAAGGTTCCCGCCCGCCCCCAGAAGACAGAGCACCCAGCAACCACGACCAGGATGACGCAGACCTGCGACGTTCTGGGTGAGCAGCTTTCTTTACAAACTCTGAAAACACAATCTAAAAAATCTGACAACGCAGCATGCGACAGGGAAGATAGCGCCTATCTAGGAAATGAGGTTTCAAAAAGTACGCAGAACGAAGACGAAGAAAATCAACACCAAAAGGAGAAATTGCAAACAACAAAATGTATTCAATACCCTTGCGAAAACTCTCAAGAGCTTCAAATCGTCAAAAATAGCACTAAAGATCTTCAACGTAATGTTAATTCTAAATTTAACATCAACGGGCGTAGTCTAAAATACTGCTCCATTCGCAATCTTTTAGAGTTCGCTTTTGAGCATCGTGGCAACGAAGATTTGAGTAAAGAAATCGTCGGCGAAATTTTTCAACGAGCTTACCGGAAACAAAAGGATGAAAATTCAAGGGAACAGCTGAGAGAGGGGGCGGCGCAGCTTTTCTATCTGCTGACAAACAGAGATCTACGCTCGGAGGAAAGTGCCGTGTTTCAACAACTGACGGAGCCGGAAGCTCCACAAGAGGCTTCTAACAACCCCGGTCTTTTAAGCCGGGCGGTGAACGAACTGGACACGTACAGCATCATGAAAGCCGAATACGCTGAACGCGTCAAAGAAAACAAACGCATCATTGACCAGTGGTCATTCCCCTCTGCTGGGCTGTCCAGCACGCGCGACTTGGTGTGTAACAAAGACCTGCCGCTCAACACCCAGTTCTATCAGCTGCTGACCGCCTCCACCAACTCGGGGAACCAGAAAGGCAAAGAGGAACACACACAATTGCCAGACCAGGATGAACACATGTATCCCGTCAGTTCGCCGTCTAAAAAAGCCGTAGCGTTCAACCTACCAAAAAAACAAAGAAGTCAGCCAAGGTATGACAAGTCCTCATCTGTATCTTCCTATTCGAAGCCTTGGAGAAAAAGCTGCTCAGCACTGGACAGGAGTTTTGAGGACAAGACCGATCTGAAATGTGAGCGCAGCTCTGAGTTGACTGACGGGAGAAAGAATTTGCGCGTGTTTCGGCCAGCCGCTAGGGTGGAGGAGAGCGAAGACACATACTGGCAATTCACAACCCCCATTCACAGACGCCGTGACAACGCCGAGCTCAGGATATTCTCAGCCAGTTGCAGGAACCAGCATGATTCAAGTGCTTTAAATCAGCAGTCTAGAAAAAAGCTCCGCTCTTTGGCCGATGAAAAAAGAAAATTATCCGCTGAGAATAAGCCACCAGCCGAAAATAAGTCATCCGCCGGAAGAAAGTCATCATTCGAAATAAAAACAACCACCGAAAGTAAGTCATCCGCTGAAAGGAAATCATCAGCTGAAAGGAAATCATCCGCAGAAAGGAAATCATCCGCTGAAAGGAAATCATCCGCTGAAAGAAAGTCATCCGCTGAAAGAAAGTCATCCGCTGAAAGGAAATCATCAGCTGAAAGGAAATCATCCGCTGAAAGGAAATCATCAGCTGAAAGGAAATCATCCGCTGAAAGGAAATCATCCGCTGAAAGGAAATCATCCGCTGAAAGGAAATCATCCGCTGAAAGGAAATCATCCGCTGAAAGGAAATCATCCGCTGAAAGGAAATCATCCGCTGAAAGAAAGTCGTCAGGTGAAAGCACAATGTCTAAGGTAGGGAGCCCTGCCAATGTCGAGGCAGCAGCCCAGAGCCCTGCCAATGTCGAGGCAGCAGCCCAGAGCCCTGCCAATGTCGACAGCTGTGTTCCTTATTGTGGCCCCAACGATGGCCCAGATCTACAGTGGCCACCTAGCGAGGCAAGCAGCAGAGCCCCGTCCTCGGCCAACGGCGTCTCGCTCAAGCTCATTGTCGACACCCAGCCAGTCAAGTCAAGCGACAAGAAAGGCAAGGTCAAGGCCAAGAAAAGCAAAGCTGTCAGGTCACCCAACTCGGTTCAAATCAAGAGAAGCTTCTCTGAAAGTCCTCTGAAAAGACCATGGCAAGAAAACATGGAGCGCCCGCGTCGAGCGCTCTCCGTGCCCAGGGAAAACATGCTTCACGCCATGATCGCCTCCAACTTTGCCGAACACGTCTTCACCGTCTACCCAAACAACGAGGTCATCATCCAGGTCCAGGTGACCAACCACTGCGGACTGCTCGTGCGGAAAGGTGATGGAAATGCTGGCGTGCAGAACTGCGTCAGCGATATGCAGGGGCTGCAGATGTGGACTGATACAATAGAACCTGACACCAAAACGGATTCCACTAGCGAGAATCTCGTCCCCAAAGAACCTAGTGGCAAATCAACAAGATACGGAGAGTCTTCGCGAGTATCCTCGGGTGGTTCTCATAAGATGAAAAGCTTTGAAATCTTTTATGACACCAACAACTGCACGCATGTTAGTGAGTACTCGGCTCATACATTCACCATGTTCCCATCGTCCACGATCGACTCGGCGTCTACAGATTCTACAAATTACATTAGTTCGTCTCCAGATTCCAGCATGGAAGAGCGAAAAGAAAAACAGCTCCTGCAAGCAGCGAAAGGACAGCAGGCGGAGCCCACAAACACCACCGCCAAGTTGGCAAAGGCGAGCGACAACCTTGAAAATGTTTGCTCCTGCATTCAAGAGATTTCTTTGGACGGCGACTCAACGAAGACGATGAGGGAAGGTTCGGTGGAGCAGATGGAGGTGGAGCAGATGGAGGTGGAGCAGATGGAGGTGGCTGCACAGACGCCTAGAGCCGGTAACCTCAACGATTTGAACGGCATCGACGTCACCCAGTGCGATGTGGGAACGTACCTGGCCAGTGCTCAGCACCAGGAACCTGGCCTAGAAAATACAGGCCGGAGAGATCCTGTGCTGGGCGACAGTGAGGCGATGATGGAGGCAGACACTGAGTATAATAAGTCTTTGAACTTGTCCAGAACACAAAGCACACGGCGAAACGTGAGACGTCTTATTCAGACAGAAACACGACTTGAAAACTTGGCTCAGAAGTCCCCGGAAAGAAGAATTGAGAATATGGGTCAGAATACCCCGGAAAGAAGAACTGAGAATATGTATCAGAAGTCCCCGGAAAAAAGAATTGAGAGTATGGGTCAGAAGTCCCCGGAAAAAAGAATTGAGAATATGGGTCAGAAGTCTCAGGAAAGAAAAATTGAGAGTATGGGTCAGATCTCCCCGGAAAAAAGAATTGAGAGTATGGGTCAGAAGTCCCCGGAAAGAAGAATTGAGAGTATGGGTCAGAAGTCCCCGGAAAAAAGAATTGAGAGTATGGGTCAGAAGACCCCGGGAAAAAAAACTGAGAGTTTGAGTCAAAAGTCTCCGGAAAGAACTGAAAATATAGGTCGGAAGTCACCGGAAGGAGGAGATGAAAAAGTAGATAGAAAACTCAATGAGACATCCCGCGTACAACAATGTACTACGGGTGACGTCAAGCTACAAGAAACTCCTCAAGTAGGTCCCACGAATCTAGCTAACCCTACAGATCCAGAGGGCCCCACAGGTCTAGCTAACCCCACAGGTCCAGAGGGCCCCACAGGTCTAGAGGGCCCCACAGGTCTAGCAAACCCCACAGATCCAGAGGGCCCCACAGGTCTAGAGGGCCCCACAGGTCTAGCAAACCCCACAGAGAGCCCAGCTCCAGATGTTTTCCGAGGATGGTCTAATGCTGGAGGGGATTGTCAGCCTGAACGTCCAGCAGTGACTGATCTAGCAGTCAGCGAGGCAGACGTAAAGCTGACAAAATCCAAAGAAAACGGCGCCGACTCACTGGGTGCAGAGAGCCCTCCTCAAGTAGCAGGTGAACCAGAAGGGAAAGGTTCGACACCCGGAGCACACATTTCCCCTAGGCCACAAACTCCCGCCAATAAGTGTCCAGAATCGATGTCTTCTGTTTGCTCGAGTCCAACGGTCAACCAGACAGACAAATCAGGGGACGTGGGGCTGACTGATGGGCCGACAGGACGCGAGGAATCACCAAGTGGACCTCAACCTCCCTCTGTAGAAAATGCTTGCCTGGTCAAAGATCCTGGGACTAACGAGTCTAAAGATGTAAGCCTTCAATTAAGTAATGATAATGGAGAAGGCAGCAACGATTTTGTGGTTTCTAGAAACGAGAATGCTGAAAATATAAAGTGGGGTTGTTGGACAAATGAAGAGAATATTTTAAAGAACTCCGCCACAAGGTCGGCTATATTTGATCATTCGAACAAATCTAATGAACAGGAAGTCATCACGAAGATGAAAAGTGAAGGCTCGCTTCAAAGCTGGAAAAATTGTTGGTCGAGGCCAAGAAAGAAAAAACCAGATAGTCCATTTGGTTGTGAGACGGATGAAAGTGACGAGAGCCTGCAGTGTGACCAGCATGAAGACGGACAAAACTACTGGTGTTCGGAGTCCCCCAACCAACATCCGGTGTATGACGGACATGTGAGTGGAGGTCACGTGGCTACGGTGTTAGAAACCACACCTAAAGTGTTTGCTCCCCTGGTAGTGTATGACCACAAGAAGCAGGAGGGACCCTCCCTGAGGAGTGAATCCAAGATAGCGTTCATCAACGTCACCCCCATGTCGGCTGCTACCAAAGCTGAAGATGAGAAGCGAATCTGTCTGCTGGAGAGATCGCGCAAATCTGCTTTCACTGCTCACTCGAATGACCGACTCTTACTTGAGGCGTCGGTAAAAAACGAGGTCAAGACTCTGTTCCAGAGTTTGAGCAGGGGCATGAAACTGAACCACAGTCCCGTCCTACGCGATAACTCCTGCCTGCCGCCGTCCTATAGTGTCAGGGAGGACTGCAAGACCTCCCCCACCAGGGAGGACTGCAAGACCTCCCCCTCCCGGAGCTTGAGCCAGCTCCAGCAAACTCGAGCCACCCCCTGCAGGAAAACATCCTCCCCTGAACTAGCCGTCACTGGACACCCGGGCAGCCAGCGAGGGGTACAGAAGACAGACGCTGTCAGCAAGATGAGAGCCCCTCGAGTCAGCTCCCACCCCATGAGGAAGTCTTTTAGTGACATGAAGGTCCCCGTCAACGAGTCGCCCTCCTGGCTCGCGGCCAGCACAACAACCAAGAGCGAGGTCCATACACAAGGAAAGACAACCTTCAACCAAAAGACAACTCCCGAACTTGGCAGAAAAGCAAGCAGGCGATCAAAAGACGAAAGAACGGAACAGTCCGACACGGAGCCGTGCGTCCTTATCAACGACCTGAGCATGGAGGACGAGGCGGGCTTGTTTATTCTCTCTTGCTGCAATGCGGGCAGCGTCCAGGGCGTGTCCGCCTCCAGCTCTGACGTCACCATCAAGTCTTCCTTTCAAACGAGCGAGGACCTGTCCTCGTGTAGCGGCGTGTCCATCAACATCCTCAACGACTACATCGTGCTGCAGGAGAAACCCGTCTCCCCGGCCAACATGACCGACACCTCATCATTGTCAGAGTCGTTTCATTCTTGTAGCTCACGCCTCAGCTCCTAGCTGGACAGTACACCGAGGTTACAAGTACTCGTCTTTGTTTCTAGCCAAAACTTTACAATGTTACTAGTACTCATCTCCTTACCAAACTAAATCTTTTTAATTAATCAAACAGAACTTTGAAATGTACAATATGTACACTTGATCTACAAGCAAACTTTTCAATTATTCACAAATAAAGCTTTGCAGTTTAGTATTTGAACTTAAGGGTAGGATCAATTTATTAAGGAAATAGGTAAGTTAGCAGTGATGGACAGCATCCCCTCTCCCCACTCCGACAAAAAAAGCTGAAGTAGTATTAAACCAGAAACTGAGTTGTGTGAGATCTTAAAAGATTGTGCTACCAGATACTAGACTTCCAAAATACGTCATGCAAATTAAAAACAAGCGTGTAAACAATTCCTGGCAAACTAATGTTTAGTATTTTAGGGAAAAAAATCTTTTATTTTTGAATGTTATTCCTTAAAGGTCACTTATAATAAACTCGAATGTTTTATTTAATACTTGTGGGATAATTTCTATATTCTTGAGTCACTCGGGGTTTTATTCACAAACAAAAATCCAACTAACAGACATGGCAAACCTTAGCCTATACATGGCTATAATGCAGTGATTTTCCTCACTTTCTAGATATATTTGTCTTTGGTGACAATGCAAGAATGTCTACTTTTAATGAAATTAGGTTAGTCATTACTATTTCATTTAAATATGACTGTATTAAATAATAGATCAGCTGACCAACCATGCTGAAGTGCTTGCATGGGTGTTGACTGTGGACTAAGAGGAGGCAAATGATTGTTTAGTGAATGCAAGCCACTGATCAGGTGTTAATGAAAACAAAATTAAACAAACTTGCTAAAAGCATTGGTCGTCAGAACGTATAGGTGATTTCTTGAGAGATCAATGCTTTTAATTTAAGAAAGTAAATTAGTTTTTATTTTCTTATTTTCAGTGCATTTAAAAGATTATTAGAAAGGTTTTTAAAAATTAATTTTATTGAAATCAGACCTGTTTAAAACAGTTAATTCAAAAATTTCATTCATGTAGTAAACAGATTTTTAGTGTATACAGCAGCAATGTAAATTTTCCATTAGGTTATCTAGCTTAAAAATGTTGAATAAACAAACACAATCAGTGATAAAACTCTATACACAGTATTACCAACTGATGCAGTGGTCACCCCCACCAACTGATGCAGTGGTCACCCCCAGTTAGAAACCAACTGATGCAGTGGTCACCCCCACCAACTGATGCAGTGGTCACCCCCAGTTAGAAACCAACTGGTGCAGTGGTCACCCCCAGTTAGAAACCAACTGGTGCAGTGGTCACCCCCAGTTAGAAACCAACTGATGCAGTGGTCACCCCCAGTTAGAACCAACTGATGCAGTGGTCACCCCCAGTTAGAAACCAACTGATGCAGTGGTCACCCCCAGTTAGAAACCAACCGGTGCAGTGGTCACCCCCACCAACTGATGCAGTGGTCACCCCCAGTTAGAAACCAACTGATGCAGTGGTCACCCCCACCAACTGGTGCAGTGGTCACCCCCACCAACTGGTGCAGTGGTCACCCCCAGTTAGAAACCAACTGGTGCAGTGGTCACCCCCAGTTAGAAACCAACTGATGCAGTGGTCACCCCCAGTTAGAAACCAACTGATGCAGTGGTCACCCCCAGTTAGAAACCAACTGATGCAGTGGTCACCCCCAGTTAGAAACCAACTGGTGCAGTGGTCACCCCCAGTTAGAAGAGTGGTCACCCCCAGTTAGAAACCAACTGATGCAGTGGTCACCCCCAGTTAGAAGAGTGGTCACCCCCAGTTAGAAACCAACTGATGCAGTGGTCACCCCCAGTTAGAAACCAACCGGTGCAGTGGTCACCCCCACCAACTGATGCAGTGGTCACCCCCACCAACTGGTGCAGTGGTCACCATCTAAAAACATGAAACAACTAGTGCATAAATAAAGATTTTCTAGAAATTCACACTTATAAATATGTTGTAATGGCCAACTGACAAGTAAAATGACAGCAAAAATAACATTTTAAATACAACTTGATATAAAGTTAGCCAGGTTAACTTAGACCATCCAACTTTGTTAAATAAAGTATTCAGTATCTGTATAGAAATAATCCAAGATATTCATTTCATTAACAACTATATACAATATAATGACATCAACCTGTATTATTATTACAAACTTGAAAAAAATATTAAGCAGGCTAAAGTAGAAAATAGACAAGGTAAAAAAAAATGTTGACTCTAGGTATCTCTGTTCAATGCAATAAATGTGTGAAAAGACCAGAAGTTCAAGCGGGACACAGCTAAAGGTCCACACCGGGACACAGCTAAAGGTCCACACCACTCATTTTACTTGGTAAGTCTTTACTTGAGATGATCATTTTCCCTTTGGACTGTATTGCCTCCTGATCAAATACAAACATTGGCAACTTAGAGTGAAGTCATTCTGGAAAACTTGTTAAGTTGACAATTTCCATAATTATCTAAACAGCAAGGTAAAAACAGGGATTTTAGAAAGATAACTTTACCTTCTGCCTGTGTAACTTTTTCATTTCATCACGCAAGCTCTCTAGTACTGAGTGATTTGGAGCATGGCTTTTGACATCATTCACCTCTTCAGGCTGCAAGGTAAAACAGGAGTTAGAACTAGACTCTACTCACACACACACACACAAGTTGGCAATAGATGCTACTCACACACACACAAGTTGACACTAGACGCTATTCACACACACACAAGTTGGCACTAGACGCAACACACAAAGATATAGCTCACCTTTTGAACAGGCTTCTCTACACTGGTGCCATACAGACGCAGCAAGGAGCCCCAGCTGGGTACATGAGGGTGGAGCTTGGCAAGGATGGCTTGAGCAGCCAGTTGCTTCCCTTCTCTTTTGTTTTTAGCCACAACCTGTTCAATGGCCACAATATCCTTACAATATCCCACCAAACTAATGTCTGTCCACATTATCCTTATAATATCCCAAACTAATGTCTGTTCACGTTATCCTTACAATATCCCACCAAACTAATGTCTGTCCACATTATCCTTACAATATCCCACCAAACTATGTCTGTCCACATTATCCTTACAATATCCCACCAAACTAATGTCTGTCCACATTATCCTTACAATATCCCACCAAACTAATGTCTGTCCACATTATCCTCACTAATTGAATAGAAACTTAGTCCAACTTACTGTGGCTGAATGTTTGCCAACATTGATGGTGAATTCACATTTCTGGTTTTTCAGGGGTTTGGTGCTGACATCACAGTTTGTCTTGCCCATCCCAAAGTTCCTACAGGAGGAAAGTTGCTCAATGTATATCCCTACCTTACTAATAAATATATACTTATACAACTAAACAGACACTTATTTGATACAGGTGAAAATATACCAACTGATGAGCTGGTAAAAACAGTTTTTACCTTTAACACATACCTGCCCAACTGCATAAAAAATCCATTCCCAATAGACAAATGGCATATAGCACTAAGGATATTTCAACATGGTAAATATTGAGATATTTATTACCCTTTCAAATACACTGTTATTATTTTAAAAAGAATTTGACTTAATACTCCTTGCTCCTTGTGGAGCTTATAAACCATAATCTTTGATTTTGTCTGCATTATAATAAAGAGACAATTTAGTATTATCATTAACATCTCAAGTTTAGATAAAGTAAAAAATATTACCTTCTAAGGCACTCCAACAACAGCTGGTATGGGCTGGGTTGGCCGACTTTGTTTCCTAATTCATTTACTCGAGGATCTGTCACTTTCACCTCATCAAAAAACTGTAACAAAAAAAAAGGGTAGAAATGTGATGGTTGCCTTGGGCCAATGAAGTACATTTGTTCTCAAACTTTGCTAACAGAAAGAAATGCCATCAGTTTTTAGATCTCTGAATAAGAAACTGTTTAGTGAAGGTTAAAGTCAATCTTAGTTAAGAACACATAAAAGACTTGCGGTCCATGTGGCAGGTGTAGTAGAGTTTACCTGTTTCAATTACCTGGGCATACGAAGGGATAGTGTGGTGAGCACTCTGACCAGCCACCTTTACTTTCCCTTACGCAAGTCAGATACCCATCAGAGCTGGGTGGAGTCAGAGAAACTATGCTGACTAGAGCCCAGGATCCGAACTGGAGACTTTTGGGTTAACTGTTAAACACTACCATTCTATCACATCATCCCTTAAAGTAACACTTAGCATCAATCTAAATTCTTCTTCTTCTTCTTTGTTCTTAATTATTAGTGTTGACGGGGATCGAGATTTATCTGCCAGTGGGTTTGAACTCGAGACTTTTGTTCGAATTTATCAACCATGAGCTTTTTGCCGACTCGACCACGCCTCCAACACAATTAAGCGTTACGTGTCAACTGGTTATGCGCCATTGAGGCCATTGACTCCGATTTCAGCCTGCTTTTCTTTTTGGATTTGCTTCCATAGCCTTTGTCCAACCAAGAACAAACTACAAGGCAGCAGTTGTTTAATTTTGGAGTTGTCTCTCCTAGAAGAGTGGCTGTCCCCAGCTAACGAGCCTCATCTGCCCGAGGGTTCGAACTCGAGACTTTTCGGTTTAGCAACCATGAGCTTTACCGACTCGACCACGCCGACCCCATCAATCTAAATAACACTACCATTCTACCACATCATCCCTTAAAGTAACACTTAGCATCAATCTAAATGAATAATTACTTGGGAACTCTGAATTAAGATTCCAGAAATGTGTCAAGTAAAAATACTCACAGAGAGATCAGATATATTGCGCTTGATCTCTTGGTCTGTAATCTTCTTAAATAGATCAGGAATCAAAACCTTCAGTGTCTCCTTGGCTGAAAGTGTTATTGGGGCAAGTATAGCAATTTAAATTTATGAACATAGATCAGGAATCAAAACCTTCAGTGTCTCCTTGGCTGAAAGTGTTATTGGGGCAAGTATAGCAATTTAAATTAATCAACATAGATCAGGAATCAAAACCTTCAGTGTCTCCTTGGCTGAAAGTGTTATTGGGGCAAGTATAGCAATTTAAATTAATCAACATAGATCAGGAATCAAAACCTTCAGTGTCTCCTTGGCTGAAAGTGTTATTGGGGCAAGTATAGCAATTTAAATTAATCAACATAGATCAGGAATCAAAACCTTCAGTGTCTCCTTGGCTGAAAGTGTTATTGGGGCAAGTATAGCAATTTAAATTTATGAACATAGATCAGGAATCAAAACCTTCAGTGTCTCCTTGGCTGAAAGTGTTATTGGGGCAAGTATAGCAATTTAAATTAATCAACATAGATCAGGAATCAAAACCTTCAGTGTCTCCTTGGCTGAAAGTGTTATTGGGGCAAGTATAGCAATTTAAATTAATCAACATAGACCATCAATTGCAAAACCCCAACACCCCCACTATATTCTAGGCATTTAATTATGTAAAATATAAAATATAGGAGCTACAGGATGAAATGCTAATAGTTAAACTAACCTGCTTCTTGTTTGGCCACCTTTTTAGATGAAGCGTATCCAGTACCATACTCTATGTTGTTGATCTTAACTGTAGCGCCATAAGGTGTCTTGGAATTTTCTAGAAAATGTTCACATTTTTTAAATAAATAAAGTAGTAAATCATAAGCCCTGCAGTAAATAGAAAAGCTACTGCTGTACAATAAGGTTAAGACAAGTACTTTTATTAAATAGACAAAGAGCTCAAGTGAAGTGGAACATAGATCATTGAGAAAATCTTTAAGCTGCCTTTATCTTACTTAGTTGCTTTATTGATACAAGAAATTACATGTTCCTGAAAGTTTTCAACATTACTTTATTAATGAATACAACTGGTCAATTTCTTCAAACTGACCACATGCTATCTGAAAAGCCCATGTGCACACCTCTCTCTCTCTGTTCCGAGACTATGAGATCAGTATCTTCAGCAATATCTCAGCCTAATGGTGATGTGTGACATTAGATAATGTATGTTTAACATCCATACTACTGGCGACGTGTGACATTAGATAATGTATGTTTAACATCCATACTACTGGTGATATGTGACATTATATAATGTATGTTTAACATCCATACTACTGGTGATATGTGACATTAGATAGATGTGAGGAAAACAATGGCACACATAAGAAAAATTTATATCTGTTTACTGAAGCTTGTGTAAAAGTGAAACCCTATTAATAAACAAAACATTTTCTAAACAATGATATTATACTAACCTAGCTCCTTAAAAGCATACACTGGTTGTATTTTTAAAGTTCTTTGCATATATTCATGGAGGATGCACAGATAGGATTTGCCGGTTGGATTCAGTATAAATTCTGCCATAAATAAAGCAATAAGAAATATATGTAATGTTTTATTCATTAATCTTTATCCATACAAACAACGCATAGTATAGATTTATTATCTTTTCCAAACATCAGTAGTGAATCTGGATTCATACTGTTGCGTTAAAATTTCTGTGTGCTACTTTCCAAATATAAATTCAACATAGTTAAGGGAGATAATGTATAATTATCAGGGCGGTCTGAAAAGTTTGCCACCTTAACATGAAGATGTCAGCACATGTCAACAAAACCTGAAGCATGTGTGACAACAATCCACAATATTCACCATTTGGACGAGAAATTATTGTTTCACTGTTGTTTTAGTCATCTGTTAGTGTTTTGGTGAAAATGGGGGGAAAAAAACAAATACCTTGCTCTTGTTCTTACTGAATATGTATTGTTGAATGGCAATGAGCCTATGTAAACTTTAACACAATGGGAATATTTTTAAGGACTCTGATTGCATGCTAGGCTTGATCACTCCAGACCAAAACAAAGTGTGAATATGTACTACTTTGTTGGCACAGTTTCTAAACAATAAATCAGACTTTGATGAATTACTGTACATTAAACCAGATTCACCATGCTGCTCTAGAAAATACAATACAGAATTGAGAAACAGCCCCAATAAAGGCAAAACTGTTGGTTCAGCCAACCTGAATGACTTTTTTTTCTTCCCTGAACTTGTGCTCTGAGAACTTACATTGATGATATCGCTAGCACCATTGTAAAAAAATGTTAATGGAGAGAGATGCTATATGGTTGGGTTGATGAGCTAGCACCATTGTAAAAAAATGTAGAGAGATGCTATATGGTTGGGTTGATGAGGTGGCACCATTGTAAAAAAATGTTAAAGGAGAGAGATGCTATATGGTTGGGTTGATGAGGTGGCAGTATTGCTGAGGGAAGTGCCAAGATCTAAAAGAAGGTTAGGGAGAGATGGATTTCAAGCAATAGTTAGGTCACAAACTTTTCAGACTACCCAGATAGGTTTGTAAAATTAAAAATCTGAAGAAATTAAGTAATAAAATAATAGTGAGCATCATCATTCGTTATTTTACCTAAGGAAGAAAAGTGTACAAAGAAGCAGATTTTGACATTTACTCTGCTCTTTTCACAACTCAATAGAAAAATGTTTTTTTTAATTTGGTCAGGTATTTGTAGTATGGGTGTTGGGGGTAAGGTGGTTGGGAGGTACCAAGATTTGGGGTTTCAGAAAGAGTACATTGCTAAAGTGTATATAAGCAGCTAAAAGAACAATGCACAAATGGTTGTGTATGACATAGTTCAGTGAGACCAGGGGGACAACTACTAGACGCTACTTGTGCAAAGGGAGTCAACTAGCTCAAGAGATGGCAAACCAAACTAGACTCACCTTTCTTCTTCACATTCTCACCTCCCCCATCAACTTTTAAATTACTTGGGATTGGACAGGTGATTAGCTTGGTAGATGGTGGCTGGAAAAAATTGTTGAAGTTTTCCTTCAGGAACAAGAATTTTAAAAAACTTCTACTGTTGAAATTAGTAGATGACTAACACACTTGACAAAAGAAGTACCAGTAAACAATGTATGTTTGAGAGAAACTAAATATTAGCACCCTTTTAAGATTAAAAACAAGTGTGTTCAAAATTACCAATTCTGGTCGACTGCGTTTACTTCTCTCACTCAAGTGTTTCCTTCTCTCTTTCCAGGACCTGTCAAGTTCAAACTAATGTTTTTACACATCAACTTTAAACTAATGTTTTTACACATCAACTTTAAACTAATTTTTTTACACATCAACCTCAAAACTAATGTTTTTACACATCAACTTCAAACTAATGTTTTTACATGTCAAATTCGAACAAATTTGTTACACACAAGTAGAAACAGCACAGATAAATTATGCCCCCACCACCAGCTGATCCAAAAAGCCAACTGACCTGTATTTCTTTACTTCCAGTGTCTTGAACTGGAACAGTTTCTGGCAGTAAGAGTGGATTGTGGTGCTATCTAGTGAAAATATTGGGGAGTGGGATTAACAAATATTTTATTTAAATGTGTCAATGTTTATAATAGCTGCATTCAAGTGCCATATAGGGACAAATTATTTGAATTAAAAGAGTTTTTCTTCTACTGTTGTGAAAACAAGCCAGATAAAATATGCAAGCAGAAAATGTCCAGATCTCTACCTAATAAGGACTCCTTAGCTCTCTCCTCAGCTGACTTGATCTTGACTTCAGCAGCGTGGGCTTTCAGTTTCTCATTGGCTGTTGTGTTCTGAGAGGCTGAAACACACATCAATTGATTTTCTTGTTACATCAAGTAGACCATGAATGAACATTTGCAAATAATAAAGTTCCGGATTTTAAACCTGATAGTCCAATGGGCAAACCAAGTAGAGTTCACCTGTTTCTATGACTTTGTCAGCACTATGCCCAGGCGTCTTTACTTTCACTAACGTGAGTTAGATACCAACCAGAGCTGGGTGATGTTCTACTGACTTAACCCTGGATTTGAGCTACACTTTCTGGTTAGCAGTCACTATCACCATGCCACGCATCCCCACATTTAAAAGTAGTTACGACAATATTTTTAATTTTTCTTTTAGTAGAATGGAAAACAAATTGAAAAAACTGTAAAAATTAAAGTTTTTTATGCCTTTGATATTCCTTGAATGCTATTCCTAACAACACAGACCTATTTTATTTATATTTTAAGAAAAGCTGGGTGCAGTCAGACAGTTGAAATGTAGGGGCTTACCCCAAAATTATTTCAATGAGTTATTGCTCCTGGTCCAAAGCCTTGTGTTCATATTTAATGTTTTATTTATGGATTGCTGTACCAGTTTTTAAGATAAGAAAAATCTGTGACTGACCTGTATAACTATTCTCATTCTCCACAGCAGTGACTGCAATGTTATTATCTGTAGGCCAGCCAGATGCTGTGTCCAGCTTTCTTTGCTTTCCTCCATGCTTCTTTCTCAAGGAGTCAATTTTACGCTTAATGGTGGCCAGAGAATTGCTGCCACTAGTAACCAGCTCGGAGGGCTCAGCATTACTGGCAGATTCCTCGCTGACCAACTTACTAACATGGTTGGCCTCTCCCCCCACATTACTGGCAGATTCCTCGCTGACCAACCTACTAACATGGTTGGCCTCTCCCCCCACATTACTGGCAGATTCCTCGCTGACCAACCTACTAACATGGTTGGCCTCTCCCCCCCCATTACTGGCAGACTCCTCCCTGACCAACCTACTAACATGGTTGGCCTCTCCCCCCAGCATTGTGTCTGCCACAGCCTCAAGACCTGAAGGTTTACTTGCTTCAGCTGAGTGGGAGAGATCTGTCATGTCTACAGTAGCATCACTGCTATCCAATCCAACCCTAGGTTTCAGCCATGTCTGTTGGTTAGTTAAGGCATCATGGGAGTAGGGGCAAGCACTCTTGTTTGCATGTCCAGGAGGGGAAACCCCATCTGAGACCTGCATAGAAGTTATCACAGTGTCAGTTGGGCTAGAACTCTGGTCAAAGCACGATGTGTCCAAACTGACAGCAATGTTCTGTCCAGTGGGAGACAGGCAGACAGATTCATCTGGCTTTAGTTTAATCCCTGTCTCTATCCCTGTGTGTAGCGCATCCAGTGATCCAGGGGCAGATATTTTCTTGAAACTGGACGATTCTTCTGCTACCACCCAGACTTTAGCAGGTGACTTGCCGTCAGAGCTGGGGACATAGGACTGGGCTGGCTCCTCACACACCACAACAGACTCCTCTCTCTTGGCACCAGTTTCTGGACCTGTTACAAGTGATAGGCTCATTTATGTCACACAGGTCCAAACAAATACAAGAGGACTGTTGAGTAGCCGTTTACAGTACAATACACAAAATTCAGAGTTAACTTGAGCCATGGTCTCTACATATACTACATATGCACACAACTAAGTACCCAAGTAACCCAAAGGTGCTAGGCCCATCACAGCCCCAACAATCTATTAAAGTAAGTTCTCTGTACCTTCAGTTGTCACTGTTAACTTATCCAGCTGCTTTCTGTATTGTAGACATGGAATGGCAGATATAGGAATGTCATGGGTCTACAAAGAAAGACAAGTCAAAAACTTGACTGTTTGAGACATTACTAGAAGTTAAAAATAAAAATTATCAAAATAATGTGGGGAGAGGTATAGGCAGTCACTGACACAGATCCTGTCCCTATTGTGATTTTAAAAGTAGGTCATTGTAGTGATTAGAAAAAAAACTGATTAAAAAAATGAATGACTTATGAACAAGTATATTGTAGATACCAGCATAAAATGTATGATTATATACAAGGGTCAAGGCCAGCATAAAATCCATGATTATATACAAGCACAAATCCAAGACAAAACATGTGTTGATTATATAGCTTAAAGCACATACCCTAGCACTTGCTGATCCCAGAGAGTAAGGTCTTGCCATTGTACATACTCGTGTCTCCTTGTGTAGGTAGACAGGCATCCCGCAGTTGTGTGTCACCCACACCCAGCCCTCAGGCAGAATATCAAAAGGGTCAGACTCCAATTCTAGGAAAATAGAATTTCTAAGTATTGGCAATAATACAAGTATAATTTGAAAATAGGTAACATCAATTTTAACAAACAGTTGAAACAGTCTATTTTAAAAATTCCAAAACATTGTAAACTAATTTGAAGTCAGATTTACAATAAACAACTTTTACAAAAGAAAAACAAACCATTTAATACAATTTTGTGCTTGATAATTGGTCTTCCGTCATCATTTTCATCTATTTTCTTAATGGAATCCTTATCAATTCCTTTCTCAAGCATAGCATGAAGCTCTGAGTCATCTAGATCTTCAGAGCTGCTGCTGTAGTTATCATCCAGCTGCTTCCTCCCTATCCCATTCACCTGTCTCTCAGTGCCCCCGTCCTCCTCGCTGTCCACCTGGTCGATGATCTCAAACTCATGCTCCTCACCAGGGTCTCCATAATCTCCCTCGTTATTGCTGCCCTCGTCATCCTCCACCTCCCTCATCTCAGGGTCCTCGCTACTCTCCACAGTGTCAGCCATCAACCAATCCTCAGACAAATCTGGACCACTCATGACTGAATACACAAAATCTCTCAAGATCAAGTCATGTAGAGAGCCTCAACACAACACAGGGCTCAAAGTGTTTTACAAACTGACACAATCTAGTGGTGCTACACACAACACTTAAAAGTTGTCCATTCTGCCACAAGTGGCTCCCTCAAATTCCAACCTTCTCATTTGGTATTGGTTGGATCTTTGAAGTTTTCACTTTAAAAGGCAGAAGTCTCAGTAGGAAGATAGAGATAACACCCTAACTACTAACCAAGAAGGAAGTTTTAAAGTAAAGATGAAAAAAACATTATTTTTTCAAATGTAAATATGAAAGTAGAAAAAATAAAAGCCCTGTAATTAGTAAATAAAGATGGAAAAACTGACAAGAACAGAAACTCCAAGCGATCAGCTCTTGTGTAGGTGCCTGAAGCTAAAATGACATTGCAAATAGTACTGAACAGACCAGGGGTCGCAGTCTTTCAACAAACACCCAGCCTGCAGCACAAGCAGCAATGCAGTGTAGTTTTCAATTGTCTGGTTCCTTCACACGTCCAACATTCAGATCATCCATTATGCACTTTTCTAGTGAAACATCTATTCTTAACTCCACCAGAGAAGAAGTCTGAAATTTAAAATACAAAAAATGCTTGTTAAAAACAGATAAAATATATTGAAATGTTGCGGTTGTTACTCCATAAATTAATAGACAACATTTAAATTATTTTAGCACTGCTTATTCTCTCTACTGATAAAAAAATTGCTGAAATTTAAGTAATATTTGTAGGCCTACTTATCTGATGAGTAGACTTATGATTTAAATCAAATTAGTTTTACCAAGGGTCGATGAGTGCAAATAGGTTTTTAAAATGTCCCATTTTATTTATGTTAGGCCCTATCTAGAATCTAGACCAACCATGTTACGTATGCACATTATTTAGTCCTATGAATTTAATAGTAGGGTTTGATCCTTGGATAGACACATAATGATATATAATGTGGTAATATTAACTTATTATACTAAATTATAGGCACCTAATTGGCAATGTAAAGACCACAACTTGCAAATTAAATACATTAATTGCATGTGTCTATTACTTACTACTTACTAGTTATATTTAATATTAGTAGGTATTCTGTAGCATTAAATTATTAGAATTAAAGTTTAGCGCTGTTTATGTGGTTAAAATAGAGGCAGATAAGTTTGATGAGTTGGGTTCAATCATTATTGTTATTGACATAGACAAAATCTGTTTTTATATTTATTTTCATCAAGACGATGTTATAACCTAAATTTTCACTTTCATAAGACAATTATTGATGAGCTGTAAAGGAACTCTGTGATTGATCTTCTGTGGGGTGGGGGTGTGAGTGGAGAGGCAAGGGGGTGGGGGTAGTGTCGAATTCACAAATTATGAATTGTTGGTATGTAGAAAATAAAAAACAACTAGATAGCGGCGTATGCTTCGTCACGGCCTCGCTGGTCAGCTCGTATTGAATAATAGATCTAGTAATTAATAATAGATCTAGTTAATAAGTATAGGTTTAGGCCTATTCAATATTAAAATATCTTGAGTGGATAATCAATGATTAATCAATTTAATCATGTATGACTAGATCTAGTTAGATGTAGATTAATTGTAATGTTAAATGTAAGCCTACGACTCTAGATCTAGATCTCAAAAAAGTAATACAAATATTAGGTAATCTATCGTTTTAGGTACGTAAAATCGCCCGCGACTAGTAATGTGAAAAACAGGTGACTCCTTACATTTTAATAATTATTTCACATTTTGAGGCGCATTTATGTTTTGAAAAATACAAAAATGTTTCCTTGTTTCATTTATGTACCTGTTTCTAAACAATTGAATTAAAACTTTTCAGTAATAAATGAACACCAGCGATGTTTCCAACAGATGCAACCATGCTCATTTACTATAGCAGCAATCTTGTTAAAGTTTTATTTTTATAGACTTATAGCGCAAGATTCAGGCGGAAGACACTCTATTTTACAAATGGCTGCTGTTTATATAGCAAATCTTGCTTGCAGACACTGCTGTTTAAAGTTAATTTCGGGCCTATATTGATATATTTAGCCATTTATTTAGGTTTATTATTCATTTATCTATAATATTTGACACAAACATATCACAATATACTTCTATTACAGCCTTGACAATGAGGTAACGTTTTCGTACATTAATACTAGCCGCGGGCGATTTTACGTACCCAAAACGATAGATTACCAAATATTAATATTAATATCTTAGATCTGGTACTACTAGAGATTCTAGATCTAGATCTATCTAGAGTTTAGATCTAGAAAATCTAGATCGAGAGTCTAAATCTAGATCTTAGAATGATCTACAGATCTAGATCTGCCCATAGTCTGTCGTCTGCTTCTCGGCCTCACTTTCAAAAATTTTAAATTCAGGGCGGAGCATTTGACTAAAGATTAATTTTATGAATGCTTATGGCTATTGAAAGTAATATTATTTAAAGAAAAAAATACGGCAGAAAAACAGACAACGATGAAATTTAGACTCCTAGGATAATTTAAAAGACTAAAAAGAAAAAAAGCTAGGCTACAAAGTTATAATATAATATTTTTCTAACATCTTCCTTGATTCTCGATTAGGTTGCCAGATAAATATTCCATATAGAAGTCTATAGGTAAAAAAAAAACTACTAGATCTAGTATTGCACTGTTTGATTCCTACCACTAGACTGTTTACTCTTACGGTCTTACACTTTATAAAATAAATGATTCCCAGTCATGTTCGGTTATCTCTTAGCCATATTTCACATATAATAAAGATTCATAATTACATGAAGAAAAATCTCAATAAGGATCTAGAGATCTAGATCTACTAGATTTAATATTAAAATGAAATTGAAGAATCGTTGTCTTAAAATAGAATTTTGGGTTATTTTATTAAAATCACATTTGTGATTGTTGTCATTTTTTTAAGCTCAGTTACAATTCGAAAAGGTAAAGTAATTCCTCTACATCTGGAATTATTAAAACTAAATAAAATCAATGTGTTTTTATAATGATAATGATAAACAGATTCATAACTTATGGTGCATTGTTTAAATGGCAAGTGTGTTTAGAAAAAAATTCCTTTCATTTGGTTTAACTAGTAACCAAAAAAAGTAATAATAACCAGATAGATCTAGGTTTTAGATCTAGAGGATCTAGATTTAAAAAAAAAACCAGCATTGCTTCGACTTAATTCAGCTCTAAAAATTGTAAGAATATCCATGTTTGGCAGTCGTAAGTCTAAAGCAACACGAGGCTCAAATACTAAATTGTCTACTGTACCAGAGTTTCTTCCAGGCATCTCTTCGGGGAACGAAATGGAATTTATATAGGAAACACAAACTTTTACCAGTGTCCACTACAGATGGGGGGGGGGGGGGGGGGGGGGGGGCGGGCGCCGACTTTAGGGGGCGCCAAAATGTGTTGGAAAAAGTAATCGAAAGTTTGAGGGGGGTGCAAATTGAAAGTTTGAGGGGGGGGGGCTGCAAATCGAAAGTTCGTCCCCGGGCGCCGGGAAGGGTCGCTACGCATCTGGTCCATCCCCCCGTGTAACATATTGGGATTTGTGAAGTCAAGGGAACTCACTCTTCTGTATTAGTATTATATTTATATTGTTATCTTGAGTGATGTCCCTTACATGTTATGTATATAAGTGTCTCGCCACTTCCGCCCTCTCTCTCTCTTTCCTCATGGTGTGAATAAACTACTGTTAACAACCAATGTGGCTTCTAGTCAGTGATTCCAATCTATCACACCCCGCCCCCGGAAAATGTTGATCCTCCACCCCCCCCCCCCCACCCCCATATCAAAATATCAAATGCACCACCCGAGAAAAAAGTCTGGAAGAAACACTGCAAACTCTCTTAATTATTTCAATACAAGTAAAATATAAGCTACAGCACGTATTTTGAATGAATTTATTAGACCTTTTATCCCTATATTTTTGTACTTCTTCAGGGAATAATTTAATCGCTTGCTGCATCATTCAAAAACGTGTTTGCTATCAACGGGTCAGTGGCGTAGCTAGGGAAGGACGGGTGGTGCGGCCGCAGACTTTATAGGAGCGCCAAACGGGGTAGAAAAAAAAATAGAAAGCTCATTCTGAGCTGCATTAATAAATTATACGCAGTCAAAGGTTAAGAAAATAGAGTGCTACTAAGTTTTACAGTCAAAAGTTAAGAAAATAGAGTGCTACTAAGCTTTACAGTCAAAGGTTAAGAAAATATAGTGCTACTAAGCTTTACAGTCAAAGGTTAAGAAAATAGAGTGTTACTAAGCTTTACAGTCAAAGGTTAAGAAAATATAGTGCTACTAAGCTTTACAGTCAAATGTTAAGAAAATAGAGTGCTACTAAGCTTTACAGTCAAAGGTTAAGAAAATAGAGTGTTACTAAGTTTTACAGTCAAAGGTTAAGAAAATAGCTCTACAGACTGGACTGTTTTCCACATCAATTATTTGACACCAAAAATAAATAAATATTTGTTACAGGATAGTAACGACTGGTAAAAAGTGGGTTGGGGGGGGGGGGGTCGGGCGCTTTTTCGACCACTTGAATAGCTATATACAAACGGGGGGGGGGGGGGCGAAAAACGGATATTTCGTCCTAGGCGCCAGAATAGGTCGTTATGCCTCTGAAGCGGTACTTGTTTGGATCGGTACACAGCCTTACTCAGTGCTAGATATTTTAACGAACAAAGATGATGCTTTATGAGTTAACGTGCTGGGTTTCTTTCAAATATTTGTCTTGGTGAGGGATATTTTAATCTTGCAGTGTTGGGGGTGGGTGTGTGGACATTATAAGAATTGATAACATATGGCCAATATATTTACTATTTTAACTCAACACTTATTTCTATTTTGACCGCGAGGGGGGGGGGGATGGTGGGCGTGTAACAAAGGGTGCGTTGTCCTTGCCGCCGTAGAGATGCCTAAAAATAATAAACACTGTCCACATGATTTGTTATTTTTTAAAATTAATATTGAAGTCTTCCTGTAGGGCCTACATATTGTGTGGTAAAAATCAACAGCAAAAAATTAAAATTAAAATGCTATATCTTCATCCGTGTGAAAAAATCTTTACAGTAGAAATAAATCGGGAGTGATCTTCCCAAAACTTTCTCGTCCATTCTTATATCACAGTAAGGGGGCGGGGGGTGACATGTTTAACCACAGAAACAGCATGACTCTATTTCACCAGCTCCGTGAACCACTAGATCCATTATTACCTGCAGCTCTGTTTGCAGTAGATTCCAGAAGTTAATCCTTGATTGTGGATTATAAGGCATAACACCTTTCATTATAGGTGGAATGTTATTGGTGGATTCAGTTACCTCATGTGGTTGGCATTGGGTGGATTCAGTTACCTCATGTGGTTGGCATTGGGTGGATTCAGTTACCTCATGTGGTTGGCATTGGGTGGATTCAGTTACCTCATGTGGTTGGCATTGGGTGGATTCAGTTATCTCATGTGGTTGGCATTGGGTGGATTCAGTTACCTCATGTGGTTGGCATTGGGTGGATTCAGTTACCTCATGTGGTTGGCATTGGGTGGATTCAGTTACCTCATGTGGTTGAGATAAAATGGAATAAGTTGCTCATTTGGTTGACATAAAAATATTTCAAGCACACATTGTTGTAGGGATAAAATATTTCAAGCACACATTGTTGTAGGGATAAAATATTTCAAGCACACATTGTTGTAGGGATAAACTATTTCAAGCACACATTGTTGTAGGGATAAACTATTTCAAGCACACATTGTTGTAGGGATAAAATATTTTAAGCACACATTGTTGTAGGGATAAAATATTTTAAGCACACATTGTTGTAGGGATAAAATATTTCAAGCACACATTGTTGTAGGGATAAAATATTTCAAGCACACATTGTTGTAGGGATAAAATATTTCAAGCACACATTGTTGTAGGGATAAAATATTTCAAGCACACAAGGTGGTTTGTGGCCAATAATGCAGTGGCCAAAGTGGTTTGTGGTTAGTATGGCAATGGCCAAGGTGGTTTGTGGCCAATGGTGCAATGGCCAAGGTGGATGAGGCCATTTGTTTGTATTGTGACACATGAAATGCACAACCAAAGACAAGTTTCTAGATATTTTTAATGAATCCGTCAAATGTCTAGCCCACGTTTAATTCTCATAAGTCTACATTGAACAAAAAAACACCAGACACTTATAAATAAGATTACATCTGCATCAAAGTTTTTTAATTAAAGTAACACAAACTAAACATTATTGTTTTCACTGACTGGGTGCAATCTAACACCTTTTTAAAAAATTTGCTAATTAGTCTAATATACTGAGTGCTAATTAGTTTAATTATAGGTACTGTAAAGCCTAATATACTGAGTGGTAATTCGTGATTTTAAACCTTAGAAGCTGTTTTCAGTTTTCATTCCCGAAATTCTGGTGGGGGAGGGGTGGGGGAGGGGTGAGGCGAAGTTCTGGCTGATGTGTGATTCAGATTGATGGGCAGTCTGTCTGCTAGTGATTACACACATTTTCATTTCCAAACTCTCGAATTCAGATCCGTTTTTGGTTTGTAGCTCTTTGCGATCAGTGTTGTTGGGTACCTGGCTAACGTAGGGTGGGCATAGTGCTGTCCACACCATTCCACTGTATGCTAATGTGAGTACCTGGCTAACGTAGGGTGGGCATAGTGCTGTCCACACCATTCCACTGTATGCTAATGTGGGTACCTGGCTAACGTAGGGTGGGCATAGTGCTGTCCACATCATTCCACTGTATGCTAATGGCACAGAAACTATCTGCTCTAAGGACCCGAGATTTGGAATAACAAACAATGCACAAGGTAAACAAATGCAAAGTTGAAGGAGTTAAAATATGTTAAATTTACCTCATACAAAGTTTACAAATAGATTTTAAATACGTTAAATTTACCCAATACAAAGTTGACAAATAGATTTTAAATATGTCAAATTTACCCGTTACAAAGTTGACAAATATTGCCGTACTTTTTAAAAACAACACACGAAGGGCCAACGTGTATTTAAAAACCCTTGATTATAAAAAGACCCGAACTTATGCTAGGAACCAGGAGGCTGGTGCTCACTGACCACTCGGCCACCTGGCTCCACTCGCACGGCTGTGTCCGACTTGTCCATTAGGTGGCGCCACAGAAGGATGACGTCACGTGGCTTTAAGCCTCAAGTGTTGGTCAAAACGTGTTCCTGACACGGTGCTGCAAGGGTTAAAGGTCGCCGCGCCTGGCAAGTCTCTCTTCATCATACGTCTGTCTGCCGGCACTGTCCTCACGTTTGACCGGTCTGCCGGCACTGTCCTCACGTTTGACCGGTCTGCCGGCACTGTCCTCACGTTTGACCGGTCTGCCGGCACTGTCCTCACGTTTGACCGGTCTACCGGCACTGTCCTCACGTTTGACCGGTCTGCCGGCACTGTCCTCGCGTTTGACCGGTCTGCCGGCACTGTCCTCACGTTTGACCGGTCTGCCGGCACTGTCCTCACGTTTGACCGGTCTGCTGGCACTGTCCTCGCTGAGCGTGCTTGTCTTTGTGCTCTTCAAGCTGCTAGAGACGCTCAGCTCGGTAGAATTTTTTTTGGCGCAGCCGGAAGTCTGACAGCCGGAAGTCTGACAGCCGGAAGTGTGGCTGGTTTTGGAGTCGGACTTACCCCGCCTGACGACCAGCTTGGGGGACGCCATGCGGCTGGTGTGGAGAAGCTTCCAGAACAAGAGCCGGAACGTGTCACGGAACTTCCGGCCCGTCACGCAGTAGATGAGGAAGTTGATGGCCGAGTTGGTCAGCACGATCAGGTCGGCTAGGGCGGAGAATCTGGCAACAGACAAGGTCATCTTTTAACAGACAGGGGCAGATAATCTGGCGACAGACAAGGTCATCTTTTAACAGACAGGGGCAGATAATCTGGCGACAGACAAGGTCATCTTTTAACAGACAGGGGCAGATAATCTGGCGACAGACAAGGTCATCTTTTAACAGACAGGGGCAGATAATCTGGCGACAGACAAGGTCATCTTTTAACAGACATGGGCAGATAATCTGTTAATAAACAAGAGCGGAGAATCTGGCAACAAACAAGGTCATCTTTTAACAGATAAGGGACGATAATCTGTCAATAAACAAGGGCAGATAATATGTTAACAAACAAGGGCAGATAATATGTTAACAAACAAGGGCAGATAATATGTTAACAAACAAGGGCAGATAATTTGTCAACAACAAAAAACTATAGGATTATCATTTCACATGTAATAATCCATTTCCACTGGGATGACAGCTAATCCGTCATACAATTATTTAAGACACATGCTCCACCGTACACAACATGTCATCTAAATGCCATCTGATCAGGTCTGACAAATAAGCCAGATGTCAGGTGCCAGTGTGTACCTGTTGACGTCCCGGTTTGTCTGACCAAAGTTGTCCATGCCCACGGTCAGGATGAAGGACGTGACCTCGATGAGCTCACACAGGAAGAAGATGGCCGTCATGCTGATGACCATCAAGGTCAGTCGGTGCTCCTGGTAGCTCCGTCTCTGGGTGGGGGAGGGGAGCTGGGGGTAGAGGATAGTGGCAGTGTGGTAGTGGGTAGTGGCAGTGTGGTGGTGGGTAGTGGCAGTGTGGTGGTGGGTAGTGGCAGTGTGGTGGTGGGTAGTGGCAGTGTGGTGGTGGGTAGTGGCAGTGTGGTGGTGGGTAGTGGCAGTGTGGTGGTGGGTGGTGGCAGTGTGGTAGTGGGTAGTGTGGGTGTGGGTAGTGTCAGTGTGGTGGTGGGTAGTGTCAGTGTGGTGGTGGGTAGTGGCAGTGTGGGTTTGGGTAGTGGCAGTGTGGTGGTGGGTAGTGGCTGTGTGGGTGTGGGTAGTGTCAGTGTGGTGGTGGGTGGTGGCAGTGTGGTAGTGGGTAGTGGCAGTGTGGTGGTGGGTAGTGGCAGTGTGGGTGTGGGTAGTGTCAGTGTGGGTTTGGGTAGTGGCAGTGTGGTGGTGGGTAGTGGCAGTGTGGTAGTGGGTAGTGGCAGTGTGGTGGTGGGTAGTGGCAGTGTGGTGGTGGGTAGTGGCAGTGTGGTGGTGGGTAGTGGCAGTGTGGTAGTGGGTAGTGGTAGTGTGGTGGTGGGTAGTGGCAGTGTGGTGGTGGGTAGTGGTAGTGTGGTAGTGGTAGTGTGGTAGTGTCAGTGTTGTAGTGGGTAGTGTCAGTGTGGTAGTGGGTAGTGTCAGTGTGGTAGTGGGTAGCGTCAGTGTGGTAGTGGGTAGTGTCAGTGTGGTAGAGGCTGAGGGTAGAGTGTGGTAAAATGGTAGTATGATTAAGGGTAACTTTCTCATGTGACCAGCAATCTCTCACAGCACGAAACTACCATTATCAAGCCATCACCATTCATACTGGAAAAGTCGTTATTTTATCTCTTGGTAATTAACCCATTCATTACAGCGAGCCTCTTTGCTGCAACTAGAATAAAGATGAGGAATTTATTCTGGGTAATTTATGCTATGCCATTTATTGTGTGCCCAGTGCTGTGTAGTCAGGGAAAGACCGCAGTTGTCAACATCTTCAGCTCTTCGTAGATGGTGTTGTTAAAAGAAACGGTGAGTGGTGTTTTTAAAGAAACGGTGAGTGGTGTTGTTAAAGAAATGGTGAGTGGTGTTTTTAAAAGAAATGGGGTTATTAAATCTTTAGGTATGGTTTTTATGAGGCTGACGTATCGGCTGCTCGGGGTAACTAAACAAAATATTTTAAAAAGTCGAAGAAATATTTTCGTTTTCTCATTTCATATGTAAATAAACATGGATAACTAGGTCACGTAGATTTTAAAAGCGGAAGTTTATTAAAAATATTTACCGGAAAGTTTTCAGTAAAATGTGGCGTTTATATTAATAACATCCACAACCTTGCCTGCTTTGGGTACCGTTATTGAATAAATTAATAAATTAATAAATGAATAAATAAATGAATAAATGAATGAATAAATGAATGGATAAATGAATAAATAAATAAATAAATAAATAGATGAATAAATAAATGAATAAATAAATAAATAAATTAATTAATTAATTACTTAGTTAATTAATTAATTAATTAATTAATTAATTAATTAATTAAAATAATAATTAAATGAATAAATGAATAAATAAATTAATTAATAAATTAATGAATAAATAAATGAATAAATTAATGAATAAATTAATGAATAAATTAATGAATAAATAAATAAATGAATAAATTAATGGACTAATTAATGAATAAATAAATAAATAAATAAAATAAATAGATGAATAAATGAATAAATAAATGAATAAATTAATGAATAAATTAATGAATAAATAAATTAATAAATAAATAAATAAATAAATAAATTAATTAATTAATAAATTAATAATATAATGAATGAATAAATAAATAAAGTAGTTAGCCACGCTTGTCTTATTAAAGTGAAAATTCGCGTCCTAATATCGGATTGATGTAAATAAATAGAAATGTAGCCTTAAAGGGAAAAATAATTTCTAAATTTCCCTGCATTTGAAACTTTCATAACAGCGATTCTTAACTAAATAAAATTTCGGTTATCTACTTTTATTTGTATCATTGACCCTCACGCTGTTGATGAAACTTTATCGCTGACCACCTACATATCATCTACCTCACCTACATATCATCTACCCCACCTACATATCTACCTCACCTACAGATCATCTACCTCACCTACAGATCATCTACCTCACCTACAGATCATCTACCTCACCTACATATCATCTACCTCACCTACATATCTACCTCACCTACAGATCATCTACCTCACCTACATATCATTTACCTCACCTACATATCATCTACCTCACCTACATATCATCTACCTCACCTACATATCATCTACCTCACCTACATATCATCTACCTCACCTACATATCATCTACCTCACCTACATATCATCTACCTCACCTACATATCATCTACCTCACCTACATATCATCTACCTCACCTACGTATCATCTACCTCACCTACACATCCTCTACCTCACCTACATATCATCTACCTCACCTACACATCCTCTACCTCACCTACAGATCTACATTTTAGACCAAATTTACGAATAAACAAACAACAAAAACACGATTAGCTTTATTCCACGATTAGCTTTATCCCATGATTAGCTTTAATCCAGGATTAGCTTTATTCCACGATTAGCTTAACCTATTAGCATTAATCTGTTGTAACTTGTTTTAAAAATTAAACTAACATCGCCCCTAAATTAAGGTCATACATTCTAGTCAACAGGATTCCACATGGAATAACAAATATCCCATCCTGCATGTAAAACAAGTTTCTAATCAGTATCCGCTCCTCCGGTTGGTCAGATTTGGCTTTGGTTTTGGTCGACAAATTAGAAATGGCCTACAGTAAAACGAGATGATCCGTTCAAATAAAAGGGATCCAATTTCGTATTATCGAGTCTGTTCAGTGGATCTAAAACTACAGAGATGGGGACTAACTTTGGTATTATCGAGTCTGTTCAGTAGATCTAAAACTACAGACATGGGGCCTAACTTTGGTATTATCGAGTCTGTTCAGTAGATCTAAAACTACAGACATGGGGCCTAACTTTGGTATTATCGAGTCTGTTCAGTGGATCTAAAACTACAGACATGGGGCCTAACTTTGGTATTATCGAGTCTGTTCAGTAGATCTAAAACTACAGACATGGGGCATAACTTTGGTATTATCGAGTCTGTTCAGTGGATCTAAAACTACAGACACGGGGCCTAACTTTGGTATTATCGAGTCTGTTCAGTGGATCTACCTGGATGATGGACAAATGTTACCAGGATGAAGGACAAATGTTACCTGGATGAGGGACAAATGTTACCTGGATGAGGGACAAATGTTACCTGGATGAGGGAGAAATGTTACCTGGATGAGGGAGAAATGTTACCTGGATGATGACAAATGTTACCTGGATGAGGGAGAAATGTTACCTGGATGATGAGAAATGTTACCTGGATGAGGGAGAAATGTTACCTGGATGAGGGACAAATGTTACCTGGATGAGGGAGAAATGTTACCTGGATGAGGGAGAAATGTTACCTGGATGAGGGACAAATGTTACCTGGATGAGGGACAAATGTTACCTGGATGAGGGACAAATGTTACCTGGATGAGGGACAAATGTTACCTGGATGAGGGAGAAATGTTACCTGGATGAGGGACAAATGTTACCTGGATGAGGGAGAAATGTTACCTGGATGAGGGACAAATGTTACCTGGATGAGGGACAAATGTTACCTGGATGAGGGACAAATCCTTCTTGTCACGGTTGAGGACTTTGACCAGCAGACCGTTGAGCGTGACGAGAGCAGCAAAGGGCAGCAGGAAGTTGACCGTCAGGTTCAGCCAGCGGTTGTAGACACTGTTGTAGAAGGTCAAGGTCCCGAACTCTGTCCTGCTCAGCCAGGATCATAGGTCAGTTAAATATAGATGGATCAATCGGTGGGTTCAACGGAATGATGGGTGGACTGATACACATACAAACTGACCACATACAACCACACACATACAAACTGACCACATACAGACAACCACACACATACAAACTGACCACATACAAACAACCACACACATACAAACTGACCACATACAGACAACCAAACACATAGAAACTGACCACATACAAACTGACCACATACAAACAACCACTCACCTATGGAAAGTTTTTTTGGGACCGGTGTTATTTCTCCCGAGGTAATCGTACTTGTAGGCCATGTAGTGGGGTGTTTGGTACACGACGGCGAATACAAGTATCGATACAATGGCAATAATCGCCATCTTGACTCTAGAGAGAGAAAAGGATAAACCAAAACTGGAGGTAGGGAGGACATTAAAAAATGTCTACAGCTCTCCCACTGCCAACCCCTAACGATATAGAATTTATATAGAATATACTTTTACCAGTATCCGCCCCCCCCCCCCCCCTTTCCACCCAGGAAAGTCTAGTACGATGTCAGTAAAACAGATGAACTCTACTTCATCTGCCCATGTGTCTAGGGCATGGAGGATGATGAGAGGACGATAGCAACTTGATCCATGGGAACCAGAATCTCTAAAGCCTGGCCAGGTCAAGCCCTCGTCTGGCATTCATTCTCTCGTTTACATGCAGGGTGTGTGTGTATGTGTATGTATGTGTGTTTGTGTGTGTGTGCGTTTGGGTTCTGTGAGGGGGTCTGTGAGGGTGGATGGGTCTGTGAGGGTGGGTCTGTGAGGGTGGGGTCTGTGGAGGGTGGGTCTGTGGAGGTGGGTCTGTGAGGGTGGGTCTGTGAGGGTGGGTCTGTGAGGGTGGGTCTGTGAGGGTGGGTCTGTGAGGGGGTCTGTGAGGGGGTCTAGTGAGGGTGGCTCTGTGAGGGTGGGTCTGTGAGAGTGGACGGGTCTGTGAGGGGGTCTGTGAGGGGGGGTCTGTGAGGGGGTCTGGTGAGGGTGGGTCTGTGAGGGGTCTGTGAGGGTGGGGTCTGTGAGGGTGGGTCTGTGAGGGGTCTGTGAGGGTGGCTCTGTGAGGGGGTCTGTGAGGGGTCTGTGAGGGTGGGTCCTGTGAGGGTGGGTCTGTGAGGGGTGGGTCTGTGAGGGTGGGTCTGTGAGGGGGTCTGTGAGGGGTCTGTGAGGGTGGGTCTGTGAGGGTGGGTCTGTGAGGGGGTCTGTGAGGGTGGCTCTGTGAGGGTGGGTCTGTGAGAGTGGACGGGTCTGTGAGGGGGTCTGTGAGGGGGGGTCTGTGAGGGGGTCTGTGAGGGTGGGTCTGTGAGGGGTCTGTGAGGGTGGGTCTGTGAGGGTGGGTCTGTGAGGGGTCTGTGAGGGTGGCTCTGTGAGGGGGTCTGTGAGGGGTCTGTGAGGGTGGGTCTGTGAGGGTGGGTCTGTGAGGGGGTCTGTGAGGGTGGCTCTGTGAGGGTGGGGTCTGTGAGAGTGGACGGGTCTGTGAGGGTGGGTCCTGTGAGGGGTCTGTGAGGGTGGCTCTGTGAGGGGGTCTCTGTGAAGGGGGTCTGTGAGGGTGGGTCTGTGAGGGGTCTGTGAGGGTGGCTCTGTGAGGGGGTCTGTGAGGGTGGGTCTGTGAGGGGTCTGTGAGGGTGGCTCTGTGAGGGGGTCCTGTGAGGGTGGGTCTGTGAGGGTGGGTCTGTGAGGGTGGGTCTGTGAGGGTGGATCTGTGAGGGTGGGTCTGTGAGGGGGGTCTGTGAGGGGGTCTGTGAGGGTGGGTCTGTGAGAGTGGGACGGGTCTGTGAGGGGGTCTGTGAGGGGGGGTCTGTGAGGGTGGGTCTGTGAGGGGGGTCTGTGAGGGGGTCTGTGAGGGTGGGTCTGTATCCCAGCATCATGTGCTCTGTGCTGTTCCAGTTGTTGATGGGATAACGTAGGGAGGGAGGGGAGGGTTTGAGGGCAGAGGAGGGTGTAAGTAAGGGGGAGGGGTTACGCCCATTTGAATGGATGTGCCACACAATCAAAGGGAAAACAATTAGACTCGCAAATTCAGCGCTATTGAGTTACCTCGTCTTGGGCGTCCAGCTATTAATAGCACGGAACTTGACACGTGACAGGGCGGGATGACGTCACGTCTAATCACGTGAGTGTTGAGGTTACTGGGAGTGGGGGAGTGGCGTGAATAAGTGAGACGAGATGGGACGGGCTAAATGTGGGGGGGGGGGGGGGGGGGACTAGAGAGGGGTAGAGGGGT